CAAAAAAGGAATAATTAAATAAACGCATTACGCAAATGACTGTTTAAAAACTCCTGTATACTATAAAAAGCATTTTTTAGGTACGTTTTAATAGTTTGTTTAAAAGATTTTAAACTCAGAGTTTTTATTCTGTCAGGTAACTTATTGTAAAAAGTAGGTACATAGTAACGAGTGGCATTCCACGATCTTTTCAAACGCAAAAATTCAATGTTTAGATTATAATCTACACTGAGAAAATGAAATATTTAATATTAAGAAATCAAAACAGTTGCGATTTTTTTTAAATATATGTTAACTATTAAAAAATTTCTTAATCGTGAACAAATTATATACTAATTATTAAAACATCGTCCGGTGATTGTGTTTCAGATAAATAAAGGATAAAGTTGTCTTAGAACTGTGATATATTAACAGTTAATATACCTAAATTCGAATAAAACGTTTTAACATTTGTCAACATAATTTTAAATGCAATATGCGCAAGCATGTGACGTTGCCATAGTTTTTTACAAAATGGAACTTCGATATATTAACAGTTAATATATCTACATTTGCTAATACGTTATGAGCTTCTTTAATTCAACTTAACCAGTTCTTAGACCCAAATTAATATTTCTTTCGCCATATCCAACTCAACGATTTGTTAATAGTTAACGTGCCTCGTTATTAACAAATATTTCTTTCTCTCAGTGTATAATCTATATCTATCTATCTATCTATCTATAATCTAATTATAATAATAATAATGTTATTATGGCTGTGAACTTGGCTTCTTGTATAATATGTATACTGATTTACTCTTGCACATATAAGGCAACATGGCAGAGTAAGTATATTATTATCTATAAATGCATGTTTGGCATCGGTTCTGTAAGAAACATTGGCCAAAATCCTAACTGCTCTCCTCTGAAGTCCAAAAACCCTATTTGTATGAGTATTATGCCCCCAACTTAATATTGAATAAGTGCATACTGAGTGTATTAAAGAATAATATGCTGGTTTACACAGTTTTATATTTACATTAATGTATAATATTTTTAAAAGGAAAATGTTTTTGCATATTTTAGGGGAAATAAAATTGACATGGGCTTCAAATCTTAACTCTGTATCAATTTTGATTCCTAGAAATTTAACTTCACACAGAGCCAGATCCTGATGTCTTCTAAGCGAGAAAATAACTTGTTCGGTTTTTTGGACGTTCAGATTTAAGCAGTTGGCAGTGAACCAACTTTTGGCATTTTGTATCGATATTTAGACTAGATCTTACGTCAACTAAGTTCCTTGAAGAAGTTGTTATGGTGGTATCATCTGCATACAAAATCAGAGCATTTGGCGTGATTGTTGGTATATTGTTTATGTAAATTATAAATAGCAATGGACCTAGTAGTGATTCCTAAGGAACCCCACATTTAACGGCCTTCACCTCAGACACCTCACCCCTATAAAAAGTCATCTACCCTTTAGGTAACTTTCCATAAAAAGTAAACCAACATCACTGAAACCATAATAATTTAGTTTTTTTAGTAGAATGTCATGTGAAACACAATCAAAGGCCTTGGAGAGATCGCAAAAGAGTGTTCCCACAAGACCCTCGATTATGTTGTCAATCATTTGTAGACAAGCTGCTGTTGTAGATTTGCCTTTCCTAAATCCATATTGATAATCAATCAAGTTTTTGGAATCAAAATAGTTTTGGATTTGATTTTTTAACAAATACTCAAAAATTTTGAAGAATACGGGTATCAATGGTATCGGTCTATAATTACTTGGGTCGTCCATATCTCCTTTTTTAAAGATCGTTATAACTTAGGAGATCTTCAAACAATCGGGAAATATACCTTGAGACAGATATTCATTAAACAGTTTAGTTAGTACTGATTTTAGACAATTTTTGACTCTCTTGATTAGAAGTAAGTTTATTTTATAAAAATCTTTACTGTTTTTGTTTTTTAAATTCTCAATTGCATTTCTTACCTCAATAAGGGTGACCTCTCTGAAGCAAAAACCATCCTTTGCAGAAACCCCTCTGTTAAAGTTTTGAAGATATACTCCAGCATCAATAATTCCCCGATTTTGCATGCCAACAACGCCTTCTCCAATACTTAGAAAAAAGTCGTTAATATCATCTGCTTTTAAGTTTGTTTCCAAATCTTCAGCCACAGTTTTTTTTCTTACAGAGTTTAATACCTCCCAGGATGTCTTGATTTTATTATCTGCTTTCATAATATACGTAGAGTTTGCTTGAATTTTTGCATTCCTTATTTCGTTTCTATATTTGGTTCTAAATGTTTTAATGTAAGTGATGTCACGATCGAGACGACAAACGTTTGTTTTCAGGAAATGTTTAGTACTTAGGGTCGTAGAAGCCTGGGGGGGTGACAATGCCCACCCAAATAATAAGGGCGAGAGGGGGGTTACTTGATATAAAATCTACCCTACAAATTCTTTGAAAAAATCTACCAATAAGACAAGTCGTGTACCGTCTATGTTATTCTTAATTACGATGAAATGCTAAAATCGTTTGTATGATGTGCTAAAATGATCAGCTTGAGCTTTATTAACGTAATAACGAATTTTATTGCTAAAAAGACAAGACATCGCATATTCTTATTCTTACGGTAATATGCAAGAATGGCCTTATTATTTTAAAACCGTTCCTGCGCCACTAGTATAGACATATCCTGAAAACAACCGTGTGTCGTTACATATTACTTTTAGAAATCCGAAAGCATCGTTGACTATAGTTAATGATATATTGGCGTAAAATAATATGCCAATATAGGACCAACCTTGGATAAACATTGGCAATGATATATTAAATTATCATTTTATGCCAATATAGGGCTAACATCGGCTTAATAAATTTAATATTGGCCCCAGATAAAATATTGTGCATAGACGCGCCCCATATAGGACCAATATTTTGTGCTACTGGGGTAGGATGCGGTTTTATTTGCCCAGCAAAACTAAAAATTAAGGCACACCGTATTTCAAATCAAGCAAGAAATAAAGGAATTTTTTTATTTCCAAAAAGGTTCTTAATAAATAAATTTTTTTTTTTATTAAAATTGAAAAAATATCATTTAATTTAAACCTGAATAAAAAACCATGTATAAATAGTAGCAGCATTTTTAAATTCTCAGGTGGTCTATAATTATAGCAATTATAAATATATATATATTTGCCAAATATTTGTCTAAAAAATGCTGTTATTTCAATTTTGCAACACGGAAGTAAATAATTGAGAAAAGATTGCTCCCAGAGTAAATAGGATTGGACTGTAAGAATTCAATACAATAATTTTTAGCCTGCTAAATTTATAACTTTAGCCCGAAGCTTGGATATAATGCAGTATTGTTTCGAAGCTACAAATTGAAAAGAATCCTCTTGTTTACAATAACAATTATTGTACTCGATATTTTAGGTATTATTTTAGTTTAAGTTTGCCTTCGTTAATATATAATATGATATATTATGTATGTAAAAAAAAATATTTAAGGTAATAAAAACTTAGTTTAACGGTGCGTTCTCGAAATGTTACAAGAGTACATTATAATATAAACATTATTATACACTTAAAAATATACTATTACATATTGTTTTTTTGGGTTAATTTAAATAATTATGTAAGCAAACAACTTAACACTTATATTTAATAGAGTCTACGTATTAACAAAGGAAAAGTGAGTTAAAAAAATACTGTTTTTTTAGTAATAAATTTATATATTTTATCTACTCCTACTTTGACGAGCTGTGACTTTATGGCGTTTTAGTCACGGGCTGAAGTTAGCTTTATTATAAATTGGGAAAATGTGAGGTTAAATTCGGGTGACAGTTGACAGATGTCAAAATTTTAACAAATAAAATTGACTTTAAATTCTGTTTTGTGTTCGTCGTAGATAAAGTATAGTATGCAACTCGTTTATAACATTCTCTAGACACTCGTTTTTATTAAACACTCGCTCGCAAGCTTCGCTTGTGCTTAATTAAACTCGTAACTAAAATGGCGTTTATAAAACTTGTACAGGACATAATATTCTATTTTATATTTCAATTATAATACTTTGGTAATAGTTGTACTAAATTATTTAATAAATTCTAATTTTATTTTATATATAACATTTTTTATTATAATAATTACCTATTTATTAATAATATTCTTGGGCACCTTCGAAACGCATTTTCGAGGATGCCTCAAAGCACTTTTTAAGATAGTTGGCCTATCAAAGCACATTTTTTTAATTGTGGAATGCTAGCTGCTTTTTTATGGTTTATTGGCACTTTTATAGCACTTCTTAATACTAATATTGGACTCCAGAAGTTTCCAAATGTTATTTCCGGACACCCTGTAAATAGTTTTAATATCTTTATATCCTTTAAACGGCCATCATTGTTAGATAAAATGAAATAATTATTTACTTTATGAAGCAGCCAGACTACCTTTCAGAAATTCAATATTTATTATTAATTAATATAATAAATTTATATAAATAAATATTAATAATATTTATATTTTTTATAGATTTGTTTGTAAATAATATATAGACTCTTAAAACATCTAGAATAAACATTTAAGTTTGATGGATCATATCGAATAAATGATTGATTATAGTCCATTAGCATTAAACCACTAGTAAGGTAAACTTTATAGATGAATAGCCAAATCTATCATAATTTTTATTTTTGTACGCCCAATCAGTCACAGTAAGTTCTCTAAAAATACACTTTTCATACCAAATAAATAATAGCGACATATTAGTACCTATAGGAAGTCAAAAATAAAGCGACAAAAAAGTAAAAAAAAAGTGCTGTAACACTACACTGCTAGAAATTTTAGACTCGGTCTATTTGTTGCCTTCTCCCGAATTTCTCAATCCTACTATTTTAAGTTACTTCCCGGCCTTTTAAGATTAATTAACTTTTTTAAACAACCGAGGTATCTTGTCTAGAAACATAATGGAACGTTAGTTAGTTATTAAATAATCCCGTTTTGTTTCCAGGAATTTGCGGCTTTGACAAAGGAACTAAACGCCGCCAGAGACAAACTGCTGGAAAGGGAAGAGGAAATATCTGAACTGAAAGCGGAACGGAACAACACTAGGGTGAGTACAGTTTTCAGTCCCTTATTTATTAGCGTTGCCGTTGTTCCCGTTTTGCAACTGCCTCATACCTTTTATACTGCAACTTCAATTGTATCCACCTCTTTCGTTTTAATTAAATAAGGGAAAAATCAGTTTTTTAGTTTATTGTATCCAATCACAAAATATTGAAAAAAGAATTGGCTATTTATGAAGGGAAATTATAATAAAGTAGGTATTGAAAATAATTCTAAAAATAATAAAATTTAATGTTGGAATCGTTATTTAAAAATGGAAATATTTTTGAAAGTGAACAAATAATATAACATTTTATTATTTTAATAATTTATTTAATATTTATTGTACCAAATATTAAATATAAATATATTAAATATAAATTTTATACCTTCTATTTATATTTTTGGTTTATTAACGTTTACTTTTAAATTATTTTAATTATTTTAATAATTTGTTTAACAAGAAATAAATGTTCAGTTTATTATTAAATTCTTTCCTAAACTACTTTATTATTATTAATTGTTATAATTATAAAAAACAAACGCATGTCATCTCTTTTTTTACGGAAATTTAGCCTTTAAACAAAAATATGGAATATAAGTATCCTATTAATCTTATTAATCCCTGCGCATTCGCCATTTTGTAACTGCTAAATATCTTACCAAGATTTAAACTGTTGAGTAAACATCTGGAGATAATTTACTTTACCTTTATTAATCCAATCAAAACTCTTATTTGCATAGCAACTGAACTGGTAACAAGGTCTTACCGAGTAAGACCTATCTCTATACTGAGAAAAAAAGGATGGTATTAAGTACTGTCAAAAAGGTCTATTTCACCGTTCTAGAGGGTTACTAAACTAAAAATATACATTTTCCTTGAAGTACATTGGTTTTGTACCTATAGCTGGGCCTTCGCGTCAACGCGTCCTTCCTGACATTTACGAGGCGCGCGTTTCGAACATCAGCTGGTTCCTCTTCTTCTTCTTTAACTATTTATTTAACCACAGAGTATATGGAGAAAATTGGTATTGAGTCTTTTGAACTCTTACTGACCAGGCACGAGTGTTCTATTGCTGTGGTTGTCATGGCGGGTTTACGAGTCACTTGCGTGCGTTTGCTGGGCCTTCCTGACTCGACCCCATTTACGAGATATTTCTTCTTTGTAAGTCGATAAGGTAAGACAAAACAAACAGAGGTCACCCCAGGAGAATCCCGGGATGCTAAACATATCATAATTTGAGAAAATGGACCCATTAAAAATTCGCCGAACCGCATTATTATTGAATTTAGCTCGCCTGCTAATTTTACTGAAGAAAAATACAGGCGTCATCGCCGGTTTTTTCCCCGAACAAAAACCAAGAGATCACTTATAAACGATCCCATTCCCCACCATTGTTTGTTCTGTCGAGTCAAATCAGTCGCGCTCGTTGGCTAGCTGTGTTGCCATAGGTGGTACATTTGTACCTTTTTGGTACGTTTGGTGCTTTGATGGTACAGAGGAACTACAAGGACTATTTTGGTACATATTCATGAAATTTTTCAATTTTTATATATTTTCAATATTTTGCCTATTTTCAATAAAGTTGCATTTCCGCTTCCTGTCTAAAGCTTGATTTAAAGATTGCCTCCCTTTCTTCCTTCCTTCCTTTCTTCCTCGCGTAAAAGGTGAACATTACGAAAACCCTAGTGCTGTTTATAGATTACCGTACCGGAATCTATAAACAGCACTACGGTTTTCGTATTGTTCATCTTTTACGGGAGGAAGGAAGGCAATCTATAAATCAGGCGTTATTAAAATCGCAAATCTTTATTGGTTTTATTTTTATATTTGTCTGTTGGCAACATCGCTCTATATTTAATTTTGGGGAAAAACGAAAAACCCAAAAACGTTTTTATTAATTGCATTTAAATAAGAGGTACATTTCAGGCACATTTTAAAACTCGAATTTGGTACTTTATTTCAGAGCTGGGCACGAGTACTAAAAAAAGTATTCGTAAAATTTTAAGTACGAATACTTAAAATATTTACTCGTAAGTACATTTGTAAAGAGAGGTTACGGTTACGAGTACACTGAGAGAAAACATGTTGTAGAATCATTCAAAACGATAATAACTCAAAGGGATTCAAATATGTTTTGGCGTCATTGGTGTGTCCCATTAAATTAATAGGTGTATAAAAATTGTATAATACATATCTTTTTAAAACAACGTTGAGAAAAGCAATGAAATAAATAGATTTCTTTTTGTATATATATTTTAAAGAGGGTACACTTTAAAAGTGTTTCAAAGTATTGTAAAACTGTTGGTAAATGAATATAAAACTACAAATTTTTCTATTTGAATCAAATTTACCCGATTATTTAAATTTATATAATTTTATATGCTTTTCATGGCATGATATTTCTCTGAGTGTAGTAATCGTAAAAACACGAGTAAAGAGTAAGAGTACTTTAGAAAAAAAATGTTAGTTAATTGATTGATTGATTTATACATTATACATACTTTGGTCCTGAGCTATAAAAATACAAATACAAATTTATAAAATTATTTATTTTTAACATTAGGTACAGGGTGATCGCCTATAATGTCGCCCCCATTTAACTTTTTTATTTTAAGTGTCCCAAAAAATTTAAAAGTGTGGTTATGTATGTACTAAAAAATACTTTTTTTCTACGTATAAGAAAAATTGGAAAATGGATACAGGGAAAATTTAATTTAATTTTAAATGTTAAACTGATATTTGTTATATTCTAAAATGTTTGATATTTTCTCGCTCGTGGATAATTAATAATCGATGATATTTACTCATTGAAACCAAAGCAGCACATTTCACTCATCCAGCGGACTCTGCAGCTTGGTTTGAATTCAAAAATATATCATTGATGATAATCATACTACATGTTATATTATGCGTAAAAACAAAACATAATCGTTCAGTAAATTATCAGAAATTTTCGAAAAATCGATTTCTTTTCTATAACAGAGGTATTATCGATTAGACGCTTCTTCTATCGGTATATTACTGTTAACAATGCATTACATTCAATTAAGTTAATATTTGTTATTTACTTGTATTACATTATTTTATTGTCATACACACAAACTTATTAACATATTTTGCAGTTTTGACACTATATTTATAGGTGAAGTATTGTGTGCAGGGCCGGATTTAGCATGGGGCCAGCGCGCAGTGTTGCATCCAATGGACAAAAGTCCTAAATGCAAATCTCGATTTTTGCAATTTTAATTATAGGAATTCATAATAAAATAACCAGGTTTTCATAAACTGGCAAAAAATGTGCTTTTTTATACATATACAAAAAAACACAAACACTTGAAATCAAATAAATGCTCTTATCAGTATTAAAGGTAGACTCAAGACAAAACAATAATACAAATTTTAATGTGGTTAGAAGGTGAAAAATAATATTATATAATAATGAGCGGTCTTACTAGAGGTACGTAATTTTATTAAATAAATATATTTGATCAGTTTTGTCTATCCTTCTTTATTCATTTTATTTGTAAATATGAGGATTTAAAAATAATAACTTTGGCTAAGCTTTTAAAAAAAAGTGATCGTATGTTATGCAAGATTTTTGGTGCATAAATACTCGACTTATTATAGTATCTTTTGCCGCAGAAATTATCTGCAACGGCCTGCAAAGAACTAAGATAAGTATTTTTTTAGCCGCGCTTTATTTGAAGAGTGGTGTGCTTACAAAAAAAATGAAAGGCCCCATCAAAATTTTGTTAAAAATTAAGTCATATCTGCCTACTGATATTGCTGAAGGTATAGAACAAAACTTAAAAGAAAATAGTATCAGTTTTGTCGCCAAATTAACAAATGGTGGCAAGAATGCTGGTGTAATTTTAAAACTTCATCAACCTTTTACTGTAGACCCATTAAATTTACTTTTATTAAAGAATGTGCCGAAATTATTCGACAAGAGGAAAAAAACGTTGTTAAATCAATTAATGCCCTAAAAACGTATGAAATTTCGGTAGGGGATGCAAATTTTAAAGTATCATTTGAGATGCTTTTTACTATGTTTGATGGCAGTGTTGCTAATATCTTGTCTCAAACAAATTCATCTGCGAAATGCTGCAGCAGGGCTCCCACACCTCCTAAAACTCATAAAATTCCTAAAATTTTACTTAAATCTTGAAAACTCCTAAAATTCTCCTAAAATTGCATTCAATCTCCTAAAACTCCTAAAATCCTAAAAATTAAATTTAAATAGGACTGCGTTTCATTAAGGTAGTGCTAAAAAAATTCTTTTTTAAAAAGTAATTTAAAAATATATATATTTAGGTTCTATTTTATTAAATTCTTTTTAAAATGATATAATATCACAACCAAAATTTTTCTTAAAAAACAACATAAAAACTTCTACAAAATTGTCATTTTTAGCGATATTTCGTTTTTTAGTCAAAAATTTACCAAACAAAAGGATTTTTAATTTTCTTTCAAATGACAGCTAAAATAGTAAACAATCTAAAGAATGTTTTGCTGTATTTTGAAAACTTCATATTTTGTTATGAGATTTTTAATTATTAAGATCCACATTACAATTGAATCGGTGATAATAAGAACAGTAAGTCAAAAAATTTAATTTTGACAATTTATTTTCTAAAACCAATTTTAAGTTTAAAATACATTTTAGTGAGAAGATATAAATTATTTTACAGAATATGAATATTATATTTCATAAAATATTTAAAATATTCTAACAAAAATGCATTTAGAACTATAAAACTGATTTTTTGAAATATTTTATCAAAAATTTTACTTTTGGACTTTACTATTCTTAACCTTACCGATTTAATTACTGATAGTTATTAACTAAACGGTTAACATTTTTTTTCTTAAAATATAAATATAACATCATTTGATTTTGGCATAGTTTTTTAACCAAATCTATCGACGCAATTTTTTAAATAATATATTAAAAGTGTGGTGAAATTTATACTTGTATATATATGTATGTACCTCAGATATAT